AGTCGTAAGAATAGTAGTAAAGAGTAGTAGCAGTAGTAGTAGTAGTAGTAGCAGCAGCAGTAGTAGCAGCAGCAATAGTAGGAATCGTAGTAAGAGTAGCAGCAGCAGCACCAGCAGTAATAGTAGTAGCAGTAGTAGTGGTAGAAGTAGTCGTAGCAGCAGCAGTAGTAGCAATAGTCGTAGTAGTAGTAATAGCAGTAATAGTAGTAGTAGCTGTATTATTATTATTAGTAGTAGTAGTGGTAGTAGTAGTAGTAGTAGTAGTAGTAGTAGTAATAGTAGTGGTCGTAGTTGTAGTAGTAGTAGTAGTAGTAGTAGTAGTAGTAGTAGTAGTAGTAGTAGTAGTAGTAGTAGTAGTAGTGGTGGTACTAGCAGCAGGACTCGTAGTAGTAGTAGTCGTCGTCGTCGTAGTAGTAGTAGTCGTAGTAGCCGTATTACTAGTAGTAGTAGTAGTAGTAGTAGTAGTAGTAGTAGTAGTAGTAGTAGTAGTAGGGGTGCACATGGTCTTCGTGTCGCTACAAACCTCACCTTCGTGTACTCTTCTTGACCAGGACGTCGGCGTCAAATGTGTGGTAATTCCGTGCTTTGTCGTTCAGTTGGGATCCCCTTCGATGTAGTGTGAGGCGGGAATCGGGGCGAGGAAGGGGGGGGGGGGGAAAAGGGGGTGCAGGGAGGCATGAGGAAGTGGAGGATGGGTTGAAACAGGAGGGGATTGGACGGAGCTGCAAAGGGCACGACGCCGTGTGCGGTCCGTGTGCCGCTTGTCCTGCTCAACTCTCGATCATCGCTCCCCCTCGGTAATCGAGCCTCGCCCTCCTCCTGCTCCCCCACCGACCTTCGACCCCTCGCTTTCGTTCGTCCTCCTCGACTCTCGACCATCGCTCCCCTTCGGTTTCGGTCCTGGAGCTTCGTCCTCCTCCTGCTCCCCCATCGACCCTCGACCCCTTCATTTCGTCCTCCTCGACTCTCGACCATGGCTCCCCTTCGGCCCTGGAGCCTCGCCCTCCTCCGGCTCCCCCAACGACCCTCGACCCCCCGACTTCGCCCTCCCCGACTCTCGACCATCGCCCCCCCTCGGTCCTCGAGCCTCGCCCTCCTCCTCGGCGCCCCGCGCGCGCGCGCGTCCGCGGGCCTCTGCGTCCTTCACCCCGGTCCTCTGGCAACGCAGGAGAGCCCAGAATCGAATCGAAGAATCGGATCGGCAATCGACGTGAATCGGATCGGCGGAAATCGGCAGCCGAATCGGGAGAAGTCGAATCGGAGGAAATCGGCAGGCTAGCATGCCTCCAATAAGAGATCGGAATCCAAATCGGAAGCCCAGGTCGAATCGAATCGGAATCGGAATCCGTCGAAGTCGAACCGAATCGAATCGGAGGAATCGAGACGAGCCCTGGCAGCGCGGCGACGGCACGGGGGGGCGGGCCGGCCCGCCCGGGGGGCGCCGCGCCCGGGCGTGGCGGCGGCGAGAGGCAGCCCTCTGCGCCCGGGGGCGCGCGGGGAGCATGCTGCCCGGCGGGCGGCGCAGCGGCTCGCGCCACTGCCGAAGGTGCCCAGCTCGGCTCCTCCTCCTCCTCCTCTCCCCTCCTCTCCTCCTCCTCCTCCTCCCTCCTCCTGCTCCCCCTCCTCCTTCCCCTCCTCCTCTCCTCCTCCTCCTCCTCCTCCTCCTCCTCCTCCTCCTCCTCCTCACCTCCCCATCTCTCCTTCCGCCCTGTTCCCTCCCTCGTCCCGTCTTGTCCCCCCTCCCCCCAAGAGAGGTCCCCATGCCTCTGCTGCTCGGCGCGGGGCCCCTGGAGCCGCGATGGAGGTCCCGACGCTCTCCTCCCCCTGTCGGCGGCGAGCGAGGGGGGGAGTTGAGAAGGAGAAGGCCTTCTCAGAAGGCGGCGGGGCTTCTCAGGAGCCCTCGCGCCTTCGGAGAAGTATACTTTCTGTCTTCGGGGAAGGCTTCGAAAACTTCTCAGCTTCGGAGAAGTATATTTTCTGTCTTCGGGGAAGGCTTAGAAAACTTCTCAGCTTCGGAGAAGTATATTTTCTGTCTTCGGGGAAGGCTTAGAAAACTCCTCAGGAGGCCACGGGACTTCCGAGCCTTCTGAGAAAGCCTCCTCCTTCTCACTTCCCCCCCTCGCTCGCCCAACTCAGCAGTGGCCTGTCGGCGGTGGACAAACCTCCCTTTAGGAAACCTCCCCTTAGTGAAAACGGCCTGGGACCGAAACCGACGGACCTGGACCCGCAAAAATGACGGCCACGACCCCCCCTCGCGAACCGAAGACGGCCAATACCCTAATCGACGTGTCAGGGTAGGAGGTCTATCCACCTCCGAGCCTGGGTCGGTGCAAACCCGGGCCAGTCAGGCTGCGCAGGATCCTGCAAGATGCCGCAGGGTCCTGCCCGCAGGCCCGCGTCAAAATGCAGCCCTGGCGCCCCGGCCGCCCCCTGCTTGCGTGGACCCCCGCTTCAGGCCCCCCGGCCCACTGAGCGGGCACCACCGCGGGGGGGCGTCGGACAGTGCGCCTCGCGCCCGCTGCCCGCACGTCAAGAGCTGGGGGGGGGGGCGCTGGCTTCCACGCCGCGAACGTTCGGTGGCAACTCGTGGGAGCCTCCTACACAAACATTGTCGGCTCCTGCGAGTCGACGCTGGTCGACGCCACATCCACGCCAATCGACGCTAAACCGACGCTGGCCGATGCTACATCGGGGCTATCGCATCGACTCCCAGACGCGAATCGGTGCCCGTCGACACTCAAGACAGAATTCGGAGGGTATGCCAGGACCCCATCGGCTATACGCAGGAGTGGCACTGGGTAAGAGTGACCTTTGGTGCGCGACTTTTTTGGGGGCCGCGGGGGACCAAGCCCAGGCGCGCAAGCAGCTGCCACTGCCTCGTCTTCAGCCATCTGTGGACCCACCTGCGCCCGCACCAAAGGTCACTCCGGCGAAAGAAGGTCACTCTCACGCCAAGTCGATGACATGATTATTACCCAAGACATGCGACGTCCTCATTTTTCAGGACGGCGTCCCGAGAAGTCCAGACCCTTGCCTTGGGACCGGTTTTCCGTCCTGAGTCGTTTCTTGACGGTCCTGAGGCCCGGCGAGGGCCCCCAGGGGCCGAAAACAGCGAAAAACCTCCCGTCCTGTGATTTGTTTTCGCGACGCCATCATGCCTGGGTGCCGCGCGAACGCGTCGGGAAATCCAACGCTTTGGACACCCGAGATGAGCACGGAAAGAATGGGCACTAATTATGCCCAACAACAAATGTTGTCCCAAGCCAACAGCGGCCGCTGTTGGGCAGGCGGCCTTCTGTCTCGAATGGACACAGGCCGCGGCGGCGTGGACAGCGAATCCTGTTGAACATGAACAGAAATTGTTGTTGGGCATTGTACCCATTCTTTCAGTACCCATTTCGTGCGTGCAGAGCGTCCGGGGAATCCAACGCGGCGGTTGCGCGCAGCTCCCGGCCTCCGAAGCCCCGCGCCCTGCCCGGGAGCAGGCGCCCCGGGACACGGGCGGCGAGCGGCGGGCCTCCAGCGAAGCAGACTGGAGGGGCTCCCTCCTCCTCCTCCTCCTCCTTCTCCTCCTCCTCCTCCTCCTCCTCCTCCTCCTCCTCCTCCTCCTCCTCCCCCTCCTCCTCCTCCTCCTCCTCCTCCTCTGGGACACACAAATTCGCCGGCCCAACGGGCCAGAAGCGTGCCAAGATCTCCTGTAACTGGTTCACAATATTTCTAGTTCGCGCGCGCGGAGCGGCCCCTGGGGGCCCCCGGACGGCAAAGTACCCCGGCAAGGTCCCGGGAGAAGCCACCAGAGCACTCCAGGGGAGGGCCATTTTTCGACACCCATCACGAAGATCGTGGCCTCCGAGGGGGGAGCCGCAATCGACTACCCCCTCCTCCCGCCCCAAGAGGCCCCCAAAAGCCCCCCAAGAGGCCCTGGGGGCCTCCAAGACGCCGCCAAGGAGCCCCAAGAGACTCCCAAGAGGTCCCCAAGAGGCCCCCAAGAGGCCCTAAGGAGGGCTCCAGGGCCAGCGCAATGAGCGAAGCGATTAAATAAATACACACAAGTGAAAGGATTTCCCTATATTTTCCAATAGTTTCTCTGGGTTTTCGTCTTCCCCCCACTTCCCTTGACGATGATTTGTGTCTGTATAGACGATTCAGGGGCAGGCCTCCAGCGAAACAGGCGATGCGGTTGTGGATGCCTCGACAATGGACACCCTAACAGTCGGGCCGCTGAAAGAAGGAACGCTAAATAAGGAACGAAGCCTCTCCTTGGCTCTGTAAGCGCCTCCGTGCCCCAGGAGGGCAAGAGGAACAGCACGGGAGGAACCTGAGGAACATCGAGTCCCTTCCGAACCCAAACTGTTCCTTATTTCTGCGTCTTGACTGTAACAGTCCTATCATTGAATTTTAAGTGTGTTTACAATGTCGGGGATATGTTCAGAAAGATGGTTTAAACCTGCGTTTTACATGCTTAAAGCATGCCAAACACATAGTTTGGGGCTCTGGGAACGATTCGGCAACATGCTTCCTCTCCAGTGATCGTCCTCCACAGCTCCAGCGGAGCAGACGATTCGGCACAGCGGTTCTTCACCCTTCTGCGGCCCCTGGGAGCCCTTGCAGGGCCCCGGGGCCGTCGAGAGGAGGCTCGGGACGGGAGGCTGGACCTGGGGGCTCTGGGAACGATGTTGTAGGGCTCTGGGAACGATTTGGCAACATGCTTCCTCTCCATTGATCGCCCTCCACAACTCCAGCTAAGCAGACGATTCGGCAGGGACGGGAGGCTGGACCTCGGGGCAGGAGAGAGTCGGGACCTCCATCGCGGCTCCAGGGGGCCCCGCGCCGAGCAGCAGAGGCATCGGAGATCGGATCTCATCGGGGGGAGGGGGGAGAGACGGGACGAGGGAGGGAACAGGGCGGAAGGAGAAATGGGGAGGTGAGGAGGAGGAGGAGGAGGAGGATGAGGAGGAGGAGAAGGAGGAGGAAGAGGAGGAGGGATGGACGGGGAGACGCGTCAAGACGAAACAATTGCAACGGAGCCTAGCAACGACTTCGGATGTCAACCCACTGCTCTGAACGCTGATAAGGCGGCTGGGGCCAACTATCAGAGGCAGGTGCACCCACGCGGCCCCATGTAGGCAGGGCGGCCCCGTGGGAGGAAGAGGAAGAATAACAAGAAACGTAAGGATGACGGGCGGGCGGGAGGGAGGGGAAACCGTTTTCTGCTGCATGCCGCTGCAATGACGACAAGTTTCTGAAACAATTGGCAAGCAGAAGCAATAGATAACTACAGAATTCAGGGGGAAGGAATCCAACCATCAAGGAAGATAAACGTAACATAATACATATAATTTCTGCTGAGTCGCCAGACCCCGCGCGATTTGCAGGGAAACAGCGTTCGAATCCGCGCCAGATGCCATCAGCCGAGAGGCCTCCTCCAAAGCTGGTGCCCTCAGCGAGCGCCGCTTCTGCAATTCCAAGAGCATCGTTACGCTATCGGCGAAGCCACTAGCAAAGCAACGTTCATCAGTGTCGTGTCGTCCAATTCCTTCGAATCTGGTGAAAAAGCTACCAGACAACAGGTCAGTTGCGAGGGCCTCAGATGCGGCCTGCAGTGTAACGACAACCTGAAGATGCTCCCTGACGAATTCGGTCACATGCGAACCCACCTTCTTATTATCCTTCTTAGTTGCATGATTTGATTGTTAGTGCGCCGATGTGTTCCATTCCTCCCCGAGGCTCCGTCCGTAGCACCAGCCGCCATCGAGGGGAGGGAAGACTACGAGGAACGAGCATCCAAAGGGGCGCTGACGTGTCAGGATGGACACCACCGCTGTTGACTGACGTGCCAGATCCGAAAATCGACTCCTGGTCACCGCCATTGCGGGCTGGCGTGCCGGGGCCGTCATAAGCGACACCGCCACTAAGGGCTGACTTGCCAGAGCCGTCAAGGGCGACGCCGCCGCGAGGGCTGACGTGTCGGGGGCTGCACCTTCGCTACCAATTGCGGGACGTGGCTTGTCGCCATCGTAGAAGGTTTTCGCATTCGAGGTGGCGTCCGAGGGATGATTGTTCCTGCCAGCGGAGTTGGGAGGTGCGGGCGGCGTACTGGGAGCAGGCGGCTGGGCAAGCCACCGACGACGTCCACATCTGTCCGGCTCCGAACCCGCCAGCTGCTCTTCCGCCATGTGCTGGAGGATGCGGCTTCAGCATGTGACTGCGACGCCTCTTCCTGGGCGCTGGTGGAGTAGCAGCACTCGTCATGATAGTTGCCATGCGCCGCCGAAGACCTCACCGCATCCGCTGCCATGGCCATGCCAGGGGGCGAGATTGTCCTGTCCGCAGCAACCTGGCTGAGATACGAATTGGAATCCCCAGGCGGGGGGGAAGATGGCGAATGACCCGAACCTCCACCTGCGGCTTCATTTTGGACTGAACCTGCAAAACCTTCTGCGCCTCCACTGCAAGGCGCAGGCGCTCCCAATGCCGGAGCTGCTTGATCACAGGTGCCGAATTGGTCTGCTCCACCACCGCGGGCTGCTGCTCCACCACCACAGGCCGCCGAGAGCCCGATGTCAGGGGCGGCGGCGGCGGGAGGCAAACCTTGCGCTGGTCCGCCATTGAATTGCAACGCGCGCCCCGAGGTCGCCGTTGACGAATGTACAGGCGCAGCTCGCTCGGGACCCTACCATTCACTGGTATGCCCCAGCGTTCACTGCCGCACACATGGCGGGAACACTCAAGCTAGCAAGGCATGGCCATCAGCATTGGGGGAGCGCGAGCCGCCAAGGATCCAGAAAAAGGCTCGAGCCCGAGTTTGGGGAGGACGGGGAAGGAGGGGAGAAGGGTGGAGGAAGGTGGAGAAGGGAGGAGAAAAGAAGACAGGCGGCGTCTCCTGGAGATGCTTCACGCCCTCGGCGCCACAGTCGCAAGGGGGGGGGGCCGACGATGACGATGACCAGGTCGAGGGGATCCCGCGCAGGACCAGGAGAGCGGGGACTTGGGCGCAGGACGAGGACGAGACGACGAGGTGGGGGGCAGAGAGGCCCAAATGGGATCCCAACCAGCGGAGCTGGCATGCGGCAACAGAGCCCGAACTTGCTACGACGGGGCGCGTCGGACGAAGCGGGGATAGCAGAAGTCGGTGGCGCCGGAGGCGGCCATGCCTGGAGAAAGGTGCAGGGTAGCAAGGCAGAAACCAGCTGCACGCAGCAGTGGTCGCACCCTTAGTGGGCCCCGGAAACGACAAGGTCGTTTGTTTCGGCCCTATAGTTTCCGGGGCCCGGAAGCTCCCCCCCTCCCTGCGGATCCCCCCGTTGGCCCGACCCGACCACCATGGGGCCCCAGGCTGCGGAGCTGGCACGAGGCACCAGAGGCGAGGAAAGGAGCAGAGGCACGGTGGGACGAGCTCTCCCCGCCCCCACCCACACCTCTTCCTCCTCCGCCTCCTCGCCCCCCCCCCTCTTCCCCCCCCCCATCCTCTGCAACTGCACAGTCTGAATGCTGATCTCCTCTCTCTCCCCTGACTCTGTGCGGAAGGCGTTTCGACTCTCTCCTCGTACTGCTTGCTGCGGCACAAGATTTCAAAATATCTGTGTTGCCCCACGTGCTATCACAACTCGATTGTTTCCTGTGTTCCAAAATTGTGTTCCCGCTGCGAAGTGGGACTCGTTCTCAGATCGGCGCTGCGCTCCCGTCGTTCAATATGGCGCTCGCGCCCAAGCGCGACCACGTTTCTGGATGCGAGTCTTTTTTTACCATTGTCGCCCACCTCAATTTCCCTTCTCCGCCTTCCCATGGTCCTCCTGCTCCTCCCGCTCCAATTCCTGCTGCTATTCGTCATCGTCCTCCAACATCCTCCTCCTCCTTTTCCTCCAGCTCGCCCGCCACCACTCCTCCTCATTCTCCGACGTGCGCACATCCCCTTTGTTTCCGATTGCGCAAAGCACGATGAAATTATTTGTGGAGTTCCAGGTCGGCTATGACATACGCCCACAGACAGAGGAAAAAACAGCGCAATGGGAAGTGATGTGAGGGCGGGATAGGATGCCAGATACTGTAGGAGCTCCACCACAAGAAACCTTCCACAAGACACCCAACTCTGAGACATCAGGACGTTCACTGACTATTGGTGTGAGAACGCCACGCCCTCCATATCCAAACCATCGAAGCCCAAGAAACTTATGGCACCCTGGAGGCAGGCAGGGTGTTTATTGGCATGGGTTTCCACTCGATGGTTCGAGCGCACCTAGCTTGCCCGCTCCCTCTCTCCCACCTCCTGACTGGGAGGGGAACAGAGCGACACCTCACCGCCGCTCCCAGGACCTCTCCGGAGGCACGTTCCCCGACCACGACTTCGGCGCGAATGCAACGGCGGCGACAGGGACCCAGCAGCGGCATCGGTAGCTCTTCCTCCACTGGCTCACATCTCGGGAGCGGCCAAGAGGGGTGTGTCCAACAGGGGGGGGTGCACATCATGACCGGCGGCATGTGCGCGGCCCAGCGGGGGGACCAGGGACGTAACGAGATAAGAAGGGGCGCCATGAAATCTGGGGAAAATCATGGCCCGCGCCATGAAGTCCACCCCCCCCTAGTCATCACCCCCCTCTTTTCCGCCCCCGAACATCTCACCCATCTTCCCCTTCCCACTCCCATAGAACACAAGTCAGCACGAACAGAACCTTTCGGAGGCCCGCGCGGAACTCTCTTAGAGATCGGCGCCGGGCCCCCCGCCCTGGAGCGCGGAGCGCGCCGGAAGGGCAACCCATGGGGGACCCAGCGCCGACTCGAGACAGTCGCGCGGACCTCCAACAGCTCATGTTTAAGCTGTTGACTCGACGTGTTCTTCGATCCCTGTGGACCTCCCTTCTGCGGCGCCCCTGGAGGCCTCCCAAGTGGGGTCTGAACAGGCAGGGTCGGAGGATGACGCCGCACCGCCGATGCATCGGCGACGTAGAACATCGGACTCCACATCCAGCAGCATGGCCGCTGCATCGGCGATGCGGTGCGATTCTTCGACCTCGTCTACTTCGACGCCATTGAAGAGGCCTGGAGTCGGGGATGGACAGAACCCCCTTTAGCAAAACGTGGTTCAGTGAAAACGACCTCGGGCCCAAACCTGGCGGGCGCAGGCCTGGGAAATGACGGCCGCGGCGCCCTCTCGAGCACCGACAACGGACAATTCACTAATCGACGTGTCAGGGTGGGGGTTCTGTCCACACCCGATGGTGGAGAAACCAAAAGGTACCGATATCGCTGCTCCCCGGACCTCTCTCGGCGGTGTTCTGACCAAGATTTCGCGGCGAATCCTCCGGTGAAAACGAAATTTCCGAGGAGGCCGAAAAAGGGGAAAACGGGCGAAGGGTAGAGGTATCGGTACCTTTTCCTCCTCTGAAATGGAGTCCCCGTGTCCCCCTTCCAGAGGAAAGAGAACTATGCACATACACCGATCCTGGCCAAGCCCATCCTGAGCCCAGGATGGGTGCCTACGCCCTCCTGCCTGGGCCGGGAAGGCATCTGCATCGATCCTGGGCCCAGGGGGGCCTGGCCAGAATCGGTGTCTGTGCATAGTTTGGCGGCGCGCACAAGGGGATGAGGGGAGGGGCGAGGGTTTCGTAGAAGGAGGCTGCTCCTGAAAAGGCGCCGGCCCTACATCTATAGAGAAGGCCCGCGCCTTCTAAGAAGCAGGGGTGGTTCTAAGAAGCCCTCCCCCCTCCCCCCACCCCCCCCTGCGCGTGGCTGAATAGTTCTGTTCGCCCGATCCTCTCTGCGATGTTCTCCTTGGAGACGTAGTCGACGTCGGTCTCGCTCGGGAGGCAGGGGGCCTCCGCTGGTGCGCGTGGCCGCGCGCGGCGCGCGGGGGGATTCGAGGGAGGCGGGCGCGCTCGGCGACGCGGGGGCGGTCACGGAGCGGTCGCGGCGGGGCCAGCAATCTCGCGGATCGAGGAGGGGGAGGAGGAGGAGGGGGAGGAGGAGGAGAAGGAGGAGGAGGAGGAGGAGGAGGAGGAGGAGG